AAGTGCATGGAAGATTTCATGGGAATATGCTTTCTTATAGAATTGTTCTGATTTTAGATTAGTATTTGTAAATTTGTAAAGTAGTATGTTAAGACCTCTTAAGGAATTTTTCCCCCCCCAAAATTGTTTCAAGATCAGGTTGGGTGTGTGTGGTGTGTGTGTATGTATGTGCACACACTGAATGTTGCATGTGTTTCTGAATTTAAGTTTGATCGTACTGATTACTTTATATTGCAGATTATGTATGCCCCACGGTCCAGGGACAGATTTACTGCTCCATCCTTTATGCAGAGAGAACATTTCAGTCGCTTCCAGCCAACTTATCCATATGTGCAGCATGAGATTGATCTTCCTCCTACAATCTCTCTCTCTGATGGTGAAGAGCCTCCACCGTATCAAGGGCCATGCACACTGCAGCTTCGGGATCCAGAACAACAGATGGAACTCAACAGAGAATCCGTGAGAGCACCACCAAACAGGACTATCTTTGACAGCGACTTGATAGATATTTCAGTATACAATGCGGGCCCTTGCCCACCAAGCAGCAATTCGGGAATAAGTGCAACCAATTATAGCAGTAATGGAAGGATGGAAGGACCACCCCCAACTTACAGTGAGGTCATGGGGCATTATCCAGGTTCCTCTTTTTTCCATCACCAGCAAAGCAATGCACCTTCTTCATCACAGAGGGGGAGCAGACTTCAATTTCAGCAGAACAATTCAGAGAGCACAATAGTCCCTATTGAAAGCAAAGACAAGAAACCAGGAAACTTTGTCTAGTTTCTTTTTCCATGTGCACTTGAAGAGAGATGGGAGAATCAAGCAGGAGCAGAATGGAAACTTCTATGTCCCTGTGCACAATGTTAAAAGTTTCATGTGACACAATTTAGTAAAACCAAACGTACAAGGCCGTTCTTTATTTCTGATTCCTTTAAGGGGAATTGCATGAAAATTGTTTTGAAATAATTGCATCCTTCCATTCAGTTTGGCCACGAGCAGTGTTTTTTAAAAATATATTATTTTTTTAATAATGTATTTGAATTATTTAATTTTAAGAAGTAACTTAGGCACAGAAACATGGCTTGATTGGCCTGTTTTATAGTAAGTTAAAGGCTAAAAGAAGAGAGTAAGAAAGATTATTAGATAAATGGGGGCAAAATTGGCCAGTTTGCTTTCCCTCCCCTCTCCCAGAATATATAATTTCTTTTTTCCTGTCTCCACATTTATGTTGTGTGCCAAGTTTTTTTTTAAACTAAATGAATACAAGGAGTTAATTTCTGTTGTGATACCAGTGTGTTAAATTTGCACTATCTTTAATGTTTTAAATATATGCGAGGGAACTGTTTTACCTAAGGTTCTTCTATACATTGTCTTTTCACCTGTGGAAAGATTATTAGCCCCTAGGACTTTGCCCAGGCCTCTATTGATAATCACCATTTTGGGACAAATAGATTTAAATAGATCTCTTATCATTTTACATAACTAAGAATAAATGATAGAAGACATTTTAACACATTACTGTTTGCAATAATTTTGCATTCAAATAGGGTATCAGCAAATTGTCTTAGAAACTTATAGATGGAAGAAAGCAAATGTGAAAATACCGAAGCACCTTCTTTAGGTGGTTTTAGCTATAAGCCATTTGTTTCACTAGAAGCAGATTAAAATGCCACATTTACTTTTTTTGTAATTACAGCTATATCTTAACTGCTTGTCACCCTTTTTTTATACAATTCAGTGTCAGCAGTACTTAAAGCTTTTGCAAATTTTTATCTCCAGTGTAGCCCATAATATATTCAGTCATATAGCCTTACATCATACAATAAATGATTTTAAAAGTACAACATGGATTCTGCTGTTAAATTATAATTTTGTTGTGGTTTAATATTAATTTTTGTGTTTTACTTTCTAAAGACAGTGGATCTCTTTCTTCTCAGTCTGTATTTCTTAACTGATAATGCGAAAATAATTGATTGCAGAATGCTACTAGGAACTGTTTCAGAATATTAATCAGTTTTACAATTGGTTAATGTCATCCTTCTGCATCAATCTGATTTTATATCAATTGTGCAAGCAATCATATGTTTTAGGATCCTGTTTTCGTAACTGAAATTGTCTTATCCTCTTGAATGGCACATTAGGACTGCTCCAGTTTTTTAGAATTGGACTCTAAAGTATTCTAGCAACTTTGACCTGTTTGGGAATTATAGGTTATTGGCTTTTACGCTTGATCTCTGTGTTTTAAGTAAATTGAAAGAGTTTTGAAGGAAATGGTTTTCAATTCAAAAGCACACCTAAAGCACAACAGGCACTTCAAATATGGTTAGTGAATGAACTTTAAAAGAAAACAGAAGAAAATCTAGAGTCTTGATTCTGATATTCTGGGCAAAATTGCAGTTGCGCAGCGAATTTCCCTCAAAGTTTCCCTTTTCTATGGTTTTATAGGCAACGTTTTCCTAACTGAAGTAATCTGACAAGTGCACCAGCTGCACTATAGTAACGTACTGTACTGATATGTTTGTTCTGTTTGCAGAAGTTTTTCTCTTTCTGGGGGACTTCTATAACCTGAAGTGAGTTAGACTGAAATCTGAACGAGTTTCTGATCTATGCAGAGTTTTTATGCCAAAATAGCATGTGTGGTGGATGTGCGTTTTAGTTGCATCTCTGTCTGGATGCTTCCATGGCTCATGAACTTGATGACTAGCTCGAAGAACGCCCTTAAATAACAATTCTGTTCTAAAGATAGAACCCTGTTTTTGTAGTTGGCTAGAATCTGCTTGTGTACTGGTTACGTAGCCATGATTTAGAAGCTGTTTTTATGATCCATGTGATCTCTGCTGATTCACATATCTGTCATGTGATAACTGTAAACATTTTGTGATAACTGTGTGAAACAGCCATTACAAGTTGGCATCTTCAGAGTTCTCATATTTGGTGAATATTGTTTCTTTCAATGGATGTGAGCTTTTAATATTATTTGGTATTGCCCATTTAAAGATGTAAGACTGAAGTTCAGTGAATCTGTTTTTGAAACCCTGATCTCCAAATGAAATTTCTCTGAACTAACACTCAGAATGACATGGTCATATACTGAATATGACATATCTTAAATTACAACTTGGATTTAGCTGAGAGGGCAAAAGAGCTAAACTCATGTTAATACAATTTATAGCTATAAAATAATTTTTATTGTATGAATGGATAATTAAGTCAAGCCTAGTTTTTGAATTTGGAAATTGCCAGTCTTAAATATGGAAACTATTGAATATGTAGATGGGAAGTGGGTGTAGTGATTAAACTGCTTGGAATTGAAATTTATGTACTATTTATTCAAAATGACATTTCATAAAAAGTAATTTTATTTGATGTTAAACCAGATTTTAATTTAAGCACTGACTTGTTCAATTTTTAGATTATTACTAGAAAACTCCCTCAAGTTACTAAAACTCTATTTCCTTTATTTTATTCAAATGTTTTATTATTTTGGTCCTGTTATTGCTGAAAGCTCTAGATAGCTCATGTATTAGGATTCAAAATGTGTTATAATGTGTAGGAACAGATGCTTACTTTAGAAATGAGCCTTTCCTTATGCAACCTCTTGTATAATTCCTGGATCTTGCTTTAAATAATGCCATCCTGGAATAGTGCCACAACAATCTCAGTAGGTTGATTGGATGGTTCTTTTATTCTTTCTTTCTTTCTGACTCTTTTTTGAATCTGGCACCTCTGCATATTAAGAGGATTATCTTCTCTTACTACTGCTATATTCGTATTTTCCACAAATACAAATTTGTTTGAAAGCTTTATCCCAAATTCATATGAAAGCAGTTTGGTTAGGAGTTAGGATAAGAATGACTGGGGAGTGTTAATTCTAGAGTGCTGCTTCAGATATTGTATCTTAATATTTGATATGGCAAGTACTTTTAATGAGAAGTTCATAGGAATGGAGTACTTGTGGTTTTTCAAATTCAAAACTATTTGTCCCTCTTTTAATGGTGAAAATGCTCTAAACTTAAACCTGAAATTGAGTCATTGCTTTTAGGATCCAGATGAAATGTCTTGGAAGTATCAGTTGTAGTGATAAGTCAGACTCAAGACATTTTCCTTCCTAAGGTGGAGCATCAAATGGCACCCTCCCCAAATCGATATTCGCGCTACTAAAAGTTGTAAGTTACTTGTAGCTCCTGAAGCAGGAAATGCCATAAGTGTACTTTCCTGCAGCCAGGCAGTCAAAACAGAGTAGTAATGTCCTTTTCATGACCCTTTCAGAACTGGTTGTCTGAGGTTATGACGTCACTCTCCCTAATAATAGGTTGGCCTTGTCCAGTGGCTGGCAATGCAAAACATGCAAGCCACATATAGATAACAAAATGATTGTAATAAAGTTAATTTCATGTTTTTCATTTTTCAAGGAGAAGCAACTTCCTTTTATAGACAAACCAGCCTGTGAGAAAAAGACAAGCAGTCTATTCAAAATTGTATAAATTAGTAATTTTTTTTTTTTTAACCTACATGTGCAACTCCAACTTTTGAACAATGCAGTCCATGGAAATTTTCTTTTGTTACTAAGTACAATTATGTGCAGCTCTGAACCACCTAAATAACATTGTTTTTTATAACATTGACACATACACATATACATGAACACCTTTTTTTTTTTTTTTACTTAGGTCATCTTTTAATTAGGATAGATGCTCTTGCTTAATCCAGGTATTGTGGCTGTTCGTTTATTTTCAGCTTAGAATCCAGTTAGACTTTCTTAACAATTTTTTTATCCCCCCCCCGCCCCCAAATTCTTAGTATAACTTCTCTGTTTTCAAAGAAGAGACATGAGAATGCACAGGGATTAATAACAGAATTAACCCCAACACTCTCTTAATTAATGAAGGTTTCATCTGTACTGAATACCTTTGTTTCCTCAAGAAAATAGTATGCAGGTTTATAGAGCATGTTTGGTTAGGAGCCCAAAAGTCTAGCTTTAACCTCAGAGTTCTTTACTTGCCAAAAATATTGCAAAGAAATAAATGGCTTTAATCTAAATTTAAACTACACAATTAAAGCCCACCTTCCCCTTCTTTTCCCTTTTTGCAATTGTGATTACTTGTAGTAATCTATGTACGTCTATTCAGATAGAAGTCCTGTGGTTTGTTTTGCTATAAATAACCACGTACAGGCTTACAAGCTCAATGTTATTAATTAAGTCTCATTAACTCAATTCATCATACCCACATGTACATTTCCAAGAATTTAGCCCATGTGTCTGTTGTTGTGTATGAAACACAGCAATGTGCATTACACCTTCAGTTTCTTCCTATGAAGTACTTATTTAAGATCCTTGTGTAACGCAGATACAGATACAGGATTCTTTCTCTGTATACTTTATGTTCCATAACTTCAGATACTTTGCACAGAAGCTCAGGATCATAAGACTGGGGAAGGAAGAAGGGAAATGATTTTATATGTGAGGTTTAAAGTATTTGTGAAGTAAATTTGGTTAGTTTTCACTGATCAAATTTATTGATCTTTCGAAAAGCATGTTGCATTTTTCTAAACATTGGTGGGGGAGATTTTCTTCTAAACTGAAGAAAAACAAATACAAATCTCAATTTCAAGTAATTTCAGTCTAAATCTCTGAGATTGTGATATTAAAAGGACAATTAAATGGACAATTTGTATTTATAAACTAACAAGGGAATTTGACCAAAACATTTAAAACACTTTAATGTTGAAAACTACATTGTCATGACGACATGTTTGATTATACTTATACCCAAAGTTCTGGACAGGAAACACAAGGTTGTTGTAGTGCTTGTTAAGATGCGTTAATGCTGCTATAGAAAGGAAATCAGTCTATTATTGATACTGAAAATGAGACAGAAATTACTCTGCCGCATATTAAATGCATAAATACATATTTAATGGGTTAATTTGACCCCATGGAAGCAGAGAGATTGCAATGGCAAATGACTTATAACCATTTCCCAGACTTACTAGAGATGGGTTTAATTTGTATATAATACAACACAATAAATTTATCATATTGTTCTTTTCTAAAACAAAACTATATTGCAGTTATCTACATTGAAACCTTGATCATATTGAAAAGCCAGCCTGGTAAGTCCTAAATATATAATAATAAATAATAATAGAGATAAACAATATAAGAAATATGCCGTGAGACCTTTATTTTTGAAGGAAGAGACAATTTACCATAATTTCAGGAACATACATTTTCCATGACCCATTATCTCTAAAATTCGTAATGTGTGGGTTTGAAATTTCTGTATAAGAACAGATACATTTCAATTCTGGAATATGTCTGTGGCTAAAATAAAGGGTAAAACTTTGCATGTTTCTTTAACTGTGTAATTTTTATTTAGCAGAGTTAGTCTAAGTACACATGCACATGGATGGATATTTTGCAGTATTACTTGGCGTGGGGAAGGAGAGATCTGAATTTGCAAGCTACTAAGGAATTGTGTTAATTCTGTGTTAATATAAATAGACAAAGATGAGAAATTCTAAATAATTTACTAAGGGCTTAATGTGTTGTTTCTGAAGTTGGGATGATACATAGCTCCCCTATCCATACCACCTCGTATATGTGGCAATCTCATCCCATATATATATATATA